TCACTTTCTTTAGGACTTTCTCTGGGGTTTTGGGGTTGCTGAAGTATTGGTGGGAGGAAGACGAGGAGGAGGAAGGGAAGGGGGAGAAGAGGAGGAGGGGAAGAGGAAGAAGAGGAGGAGGAGGAGGGGAAGAGGAAGAAGAGGAGGAGGAGGGAAGAGGAACAACAGGGATTGCCAGAAGACAAGCACACACACACACACACACACACACACACTCTCTCTCTCTCTCTCATTACACGGCCACAACTGCCTTTTATTCAGGCCGAATTTAAAGGTAGTTTTATATCTGGTGAAAGTCTTTGTTAGAATATGAAACGTTTTTGGGGAGGAAAGTTAAATGAGACAAGACAGACAGATACAGACAGGCAGATAGACAGACACAGACAGACAGATAGACAGACAGACAGACGGATAGACAGACAGACAATTTGCAACGTTAGATCAGAGAGTCGGCTGGTGGTGATGGGATGGTGGTAGTAGTGGTTGCATGAAAGTGGTGTGGCAGAGACAAGAGTGTGTGGTAGACATGGGGTGGCAGGGAGATGGGTGGCAGGGAGATGGGTGGCAAGGAAGGGGTGGAACACTGCCCTCCTGTATTGGAAATCTATAGACAGTTGTCCTCTTCCCTCAATATTGTGTACGTCTATATAAGGTGGTGATGGTGTTGTGGTGATGGTGTTGTGGTGATGGTGGTGTGGTGATGGTGGTGTGGTGATGGTGTTGTGGTGATGGTGTTGTGGTGATGGTGTTGTGGTGATGGTGTAGTGGTGATGGTGGTGTGGTGATGGTGGTGTGGTGATGGTGTTGTGGTGATGGTGTAGTGGTGATGGTGGTGTGGTGATGGTGTAGTGGTGATGGTGTTGTGGTGATGGTGGTGGTAGAACATACTTCACCTCAATCCCTTTAAAGCTAAAATTAACTGTAAAAAGTTATGAATATTGTTGACTTAAAGCTTCAATTAATTAAAAGCTAAAATTATATAAAACAGCTAAGAATAAAATATAAAGACGAATTATATAATAAAAGCTAAAAGGTATGTGTGTGTGTGTGTAAGGGAGGGTGTGGATGTGAAGGGTGACCGATTTCAAAGCTAAGAACAGCAACAAAATATAGCTTACATAGCCTTCAATGGACTGTAGAAGCTAACTCATCCCTCAGGAAGCTAATTTACCCCCAGGAAGCTAAGAGAGTAGATTAGCTTAACTTAGCTTGAGCTGAAAAGGTAAATTTACTCCAAGGAACTGAGATGATTATTGTAATGAACTTAGAGGGAGGGGAAGGGAAGGGGGGAGCTAACAGTGTACAGGGGGAGGAAGGGGAGCACAGGCACAGGGGAGAAGGGGAGCTAACAGTGTACAGGGAGAGGAAGGGGAGCACAGTGTACAGGAGGGAGTAAGGAGCACAGTGTACAGGGGGAGGGAAGGGGGAGCTAACAGTGTACAGGGGAGGGGAAGGGGTGTGTACAGGGGAGGGAAGGGGAGAGCTAACAATGTACAGGGGGAGTGGAAGGAGAGCTACAGGGGAGGAAGGGGTACAGGGGAGGAAGGGGAGCTAACAGGGACAGGGGAGGAAGGGGACAGGCTAGGGGGGAGAAGTGGGGAGCCACTAGTGTACAGGGGAGGAAGTGGGGAAGCTAACAGGTACAGGGGAGGAAGGGGGGAGCTAACAGGCACAGGGGAGGAAGGGAGCCACAGTGCACAGGGGAGAAGGGAGCCAGTGTACAGGGGAGGAAAGAGGAGCCACAGTGCCAGGGGGAGGAAGGGGGAGCTAACAGTGTAACAGGGGAGGAAGGGGATAACAGGCCAGGGGAGGGAAGGGGGAGCTAACAGTGTACAGGGGAGGAAGGGGAGCCAATAGGGGAGAGGGCGCGGCAGTGTAATTCAACATCGGCCCCACCTTAAAGGGGAGATTGCCAGTTCATTAGCCAACCACACCGATCTGCTCCCACTTCTCTCCTCACCCAGTAAGTGTTGGGGGGGTGAGGGGAGGGAAGAGGGAAGGTGGGGGAGGGAAGGTTGAGGGAAGGTGGGGGGTGAGGGAGGTAAGAGGGAAGGGTGAGGGAAGGTGGGGGGTGAGGGGTAGGGGTGAGGGAAGGGGTGAGGGAAGGTGGGGGTGGGGAGGGAAGGTGGGGTGAGGGGAGGTGGGGGTGAGGGGAGGTGGGGGTGAGGGTAGGTGGTGGAGGTAAGGTATAGGTGGTAGTGGTAGGTGACGTAGGTGGTTAAACAGTAAAAGTTAAATACAACACATAAAAAATAATAATAATAATAATGGCAACAATACCTAACTGCAGCGTCGCGTCACCTAACAACATTCACCACCACCAACAACATCATCATACTAAACACTCACACAACACCTTAGAACGATTAAGAGGTAGAATATAAACACTTCATTATATCATTATTAAATCATTATATAATTAGGGTTAACAAGACGTGTGTGTGTGTGTGTGTGTGTGTGTGTTAGGGTTAAGTGAGTGATGATTGTCTCTCAGTGAGGAAGAACTATCTCAGTGAGGTGTCTCTCAGCCTACCGGTATATTCCTTTAAATGAAGGTTAATTATTTCTCAGGTAGACACACCACTTGACCTGGTCGTTAACAGACCCTCCACCACCCATTCCCATTCCCATTCCAGGAACATCTAGGGGCGTTGGGTACTCTCTTCACTCGGTGGATTCCCATTTTTGGGAATTTTTTGGGTGTGGACCGTTTCTTTCTTCCCTCCCTTATCTGGTTGATTCCCATTCCTGTTTTAGGAATATAAGTTGTAGGATTTCCATGTCCATTTCAGGAATGAGGGGTGTAGGATTCCCATTTCTATTCCAATTACAGGAATATAAGAGGGTGTCTGATTCTCATATCCATTCCCGTCACCATTTCAGGAATATAAACAACTATGATTCCCGTTACCATTCCCAGCACTATATAAGCTCCTAAATGGTCTCGTTTTACCATTCCCGATTCCTGAAAATATGTGTGAGCGGTGGATCATCTTCCACACCAACGGATTCCCATTCCCGGGAATATGTTAGGGCGTTCAACAGCCTCCTCACCTGACGGATTCCCACTCACCTTTTTCATTCCCATTCCCATTCCAGGGACTTTTTTTGAGGGTTTGTTTATTCACAGACGAGGCGAGTAAATATGTTGAGCGTGCTAATGAGTATTACCTGGGGAGAGGGGTGAGAGGGGAGGGGAGAAGGGAGATGAGAGAGGGGAAAGGAGGAAGAGGGAGGGGAGATGAGAGGGGAGGGGAAAGGGAGATGAGAGGGGAGAAGAGAGATGAGAGAGGGGAAAGGAGGAGGAGGGAGGGGAGGAGGGGAAAGGGAGTTAGAGGGAGAAGGACAGAGGGAGAAGGGAGATGAGAGGGGGAAGGAGAGTTGAAAGGGGTGAGGAGGGAGAAAGAACTGGAGGAAGAGAGGTGGAGAGAGGAACAAGAGAAGGGGAAGAGGTAAAGAGGACAGGAGACTGGGGGGTGAAAGAGGGGAGAGGAGGGAGGGGAGTAAGCTGCCACCATAAATTTCCCCCACCACTCTACTTACTATAAGGTATATATATGTCCCTGAACAGTTATTTTCCCCCGCCACAGTGAAATTTCCCCTACTATCTTGCTAAAATTCCCTGAACACAACAGTTATTTCCCCCGCCAGACCTCCACTGTTAAAATTCCCTAAACTTATCTATTTTTCTCGTGCCAGTAAAAATTTTCCCCACCACTCCACTACTAAAAATTCCCTAAACAGCTTCTTTATTTCCTCCCGTGTGTGTTTTCCCCCACCATTGTATTTTTTCCCCCCCACCATCCAACAACTCTTGAGGTAAATATTCCTTAAACACAGCAATTCTTTCCCCCCACCACCGTATTTTCCCCACCACCATAATATTTTTCCCCTGCCAGTCGTAAATTCTAACCTACTGGGGCCTATCTTTCCCTCCTCCCCCCCCATTTCTCCCAGGCTGTATGTCTTGTGGCAGAGACCTGTTTATACGACGTCCTCCAAGTAAAAGTATTATCTCTCTCTCTCTCTCTCTCTCTCTCTCTCTCTCTCTCTCCTTCCTCCTCAGGGGCTTACCACACACCACCTACCACGCACCACCACCTATCAACACCTGGGATTCTCAGGAGGGGGTCTAGAGTGGGGTCAAGAAGGGAGTGGGGTGGGGGGGTCTGGGGAGGGGGGTCCAAGTGGGGGGAGGTGGGGGTCAACAAGTCCTCTCTCCATTAACTTTCAAAATTGGCGGCAACTAACTCTAGTGAGGTCAATCAGCATTTGTGTTATTCACGCTGGCTGCCCTGTTGGTGGTGTGTGGTGCTGGGGTTATGGTGTTAGTGTGGTGCTGGGGGTTATGGTGTTAGTGTGGTGCTGGGGGGTTATGGTGTTAGTGTGGTGCTGGGGGTTATGGTGTTAGTGTGGTGCTGGGGTTATGGTGGTGTGGTGCTGGGGGTTATGGTGTTAGTGTGGTGCTGGTGACTATAGTGATGACTGTAAAGGTGAAAGGTAATGATGGTGATAATGGATGTGGTTATTACAGTGTTATTATTATTATTATTATTATTATTATTATTATCATCATCGTCATCATCATCATCATCTTCATTATTATTATTATTATTATTGTTATTATTACCAATTTCACCCGCCTCTTGTAATGTCCATTTAATCAGTGTTAAAATATATCTCTATGCATTAATAACAAAGTATTTTAAGTGTGTTGGGAAAATAACTGTCAGGTGTAGGGAATTAAGTGTGTGGGGAAAATAACTGTCAGGTGTGGGGAATTAAGTGTGTGGGGAAAATAACTGTCAGGTGTAGGGAATTAAGTGTGTTGGGAAAATAACTGCCAGGTGTAGGGAATTAAGTGTGTGGGGAAAATAACTGTCAGGTGTGGGGAATTAAGTGTGTGGGGAAAATAACTGACAGGTGTGGGGAATTAAGTGTGTGGGGAAAATAACTGTCAGGTGTGGGGAATTAAGTCATTAAACTGATCTACATTTCAGACGGGATGATGGCACCCATCCTCCCAGGAGCCATGCCCACAGGTGTGTCTCACCAAGTCATGGTTAATGGCTCATCAGGTCATGGTTAATGCCTGTGTCTCACCAAGTTATGATTAATGGCTCATCAGGTCATGGTTAATGCCTGTCTCTCACCAAGTTATGGCTAATGATGCCTGTATGTCTCACGAAGTCATGGCTAATAATGCCTGTATGTCTCACGAAGTCATGGTTAATGCCTGTGTCTCACTATTGTGGAATTTATCTGAGAATTATTTAATATTTGATGCACGAATTATAATTTATTGAGTGAGTTTAATTACCGGTATTGTTGTGGCATTTTTGTGAGAATTTGTCGCTGGTGCATGAATATCTAACTACCAGTGAGGGAAGGTATTTAATTAAATTTTCTCTGCACGAATATTTGATTAGTATTTTTTTAAGGGAATTTAAACCACAGACGTTTTACACAAGTATTTTTTTCTGAAGCATGATTATTGATTTTAATTCCCGTCTTACACTAATTAAGGAAGAATTTTGAGAATTTATTATCTCTGTGCACGAGTATTTTAATTATTACAACGTATTTTAATGTCCGTCTGTTTACACTTAATGCCCGAGAATTTTTTTTTGTGGAATAAATTCTTAGGCTGAAGGAAAGGTGTTTGGTATTAGTTAAGGTGAGGTAATTAGGATCACCTGAAGTATGACCACCCCTGTTTATTTCACCTATCCAGTGGCTCTCAACCTTCTTCACTCCATTCCCCCTTGAGGAATTTTCAACATCCTCGTGGCGTCCTTCAGTTTTCTCTCAGAACAGACAAACAAACAAGTGATAAAGACCAAAGAATGATAAAGAAGGACAGATAAATAGGACAAGAGTTAGAATGGCAAACACACACAGTCACATAACACACCCATGCACTCACACATAAAGCACACATACAGTCATACACAAACATGCACACAGGTAAACATTCACACTCAAGCTAGCAAGCTGAAGTGTACTTCCTGTAAGCAAGAACACGCCTCCTTTGACATGCACTGCCCAACTTGGAAGAATGAGAAGGATAGTGAGTCATACCAATTTAGCACCAAAAATGGTGGGATTATATAAGTAAAGAATGAGTATGAACAACAATGGCGCCAATAAATAAGGAAATAATTAATAAAGGAAGTGTACAAATATTTCACCCACGTAAAGCAGCGACCACATGAATTATGAAACAAAATAAGTAACACCAATTACAGAGTATATTATGCTTGAGTCAAGCTCAAACACAATATATGGTTCAGAGACAATACACTCCACTGTTTCCGTGATGGTATCCCAGGCCAGGCTGAGATCATTTGGTCCAATCACCACTTGCAAAGGGATGACACACGGACACGTACTGAACAAGTCAGTTCAGCAGCTCGGTCCAGCGCCTGTCACACAGACAGGGACTGGACCTGTGAAATCTTAAATAATCCGTAAAAAATAAAATATAAATTAGCACCAGAGTATGTAAATATTAAAATTGTATTGTCGTTATGATTAAACAAAATGACAAAAAAAGAATGAAAATTCTCTTCTGCCAAGTCAAAATAAGTAATGCAAGTTTTGTTTAATTCAGATTCCCAACATTATTTGGAAACGTACAATTTATAACAGCTCGCCGTGGGTCCCTTGGGGGCCATGGCCCCCAGGTTGAGAACCTGTGACCTAGACAGACAGACAGACAGGTGTACCATAATCAACAGACACACAATGATCAGGTGATATCCACGTGTTGACGCCCCGCCCCAGAGGCCGACGCTGCCATACATACTGGAACCATTATGTAAATTATTTTTCCCAGGAGACACATATAACGTAGATTAATCACCGTTATTACCCGCCTGGTTCATATTTCTCGTTCATACTATATAAAAAAGATTATTTTTCCCAGTATGGTGGAATTTATATTTTTTTATGGGTGTTATCGTTCGTTATGTTGAGTTAGTATTTATTGGTATGTATTGTTGCTGCAGTTTTTTCTCCAGTATTGACGGGAATTTCACAGTTTATTTTTTGTTTTGTGCTGTTAGTTATTGTTTTTTAATGTGTTTTTTATATTTTTTCCCAGGATAGACGTTTTTTTTCCCAGGGTGGATGAATATTTTTGTTTACTATCATTATGTTTTTGTTATTGTTGTTGATATAATTACGTTCTGATGCGTCAAATTATTATTATTTTAGCTTCACAAATTAATGGGAAAAATCGATGCAATTTTTATGATTATTTTAATTACTGACGAATTATTTATTTTAGAATGTATTGTGTAATTATGTGTGTTTGTACTGTGTGTGTGTCTGTCTGTCTGTCTGTCTGTAAGAACTAGTTAGCTAATATACACCTCTACTTCATCACCATACACGAGGGTCCAAATGGTTAAACTTTTGGTGCACACGTTGACAAGAATGGATCACTTGTTGCCATGGTAACGTTGGGCGGAAGGAGTGAAAGAAAACGGAGATAAGAGACAGTCTACAGCGGTAACTATACTAATTCACTGTAACAGCATCATCAGTTCGTTATTATGGTTGTTTGGGTAGTGATTTGCATGTTGTTCATTGTTAGTTGTTTGATATATGATAAATCGATAGGAAAAATTAGGTTACAGTGAAACCTATTTTAACGGACTATGCAGAGAGGAGAATCCGTTATATCGAGGGTCCATTAGATCTGAAACCTTCATCTAACGAACTATATAGAGATGAAATTCCGTTATATCGAGAGTTCAGTAAATGCGAAGCCCCATTATAACGAACTATATAGAGAGGGAATTCCGTTAAATCGAGGGTCCGTTATATGGAGGTTTTGCTGTATTCAGGATTTGGACTGGATTGGACTATAAACGATTGGGATTTATTGGCGCCTTTTGAAAGAGTCCTACGTGTATTGACAACATGGGATTGGGTTGTTAGAACGAATCCTTGTGAAATATAAAGGATTCGGGGAGGATTAGGCCAATCAGGAGTCAAATCAAAATAATCTGTGTTTAAATTCAAGTGATTAGGTTACGTTAGGTTCTGGCCAAGGGGGGGGGGAGATTTTAGGAAGATTAGGGGTCTATATGATTGGCCATTCTTCTCTGTAGGCCTAAGGATTGTGTGAGAGAGCCTACCTCACTATTAATGTGTGTGTGTGTGTGTGAGGGGCTGACGAGTGAGGGGTGAGGAGTGAGGGGCTGAGGAGTGAGGGGCAGAGGAGTGAGGGGGAGGAGGAGGGGTGAGGGACAGGGGGGGGCTGAGGAGTGAGGGGCAGAGGAATGAGGGGCAGAGGAGTGAAGGGCTGAGGAGTGAGGGGCTGAGGAGTGAGGGGCAGAGCAGTGAGGGACTGAGGAGTGAGGGGTTGAGGGTCACAACTAATTCTCTCTCTCTCTCCTTATTTCTCTCTTATCTCTCCTCTCTGCCTTTTCTCTCCGTTTTGTTCTCTTGTTTTATTATCCTTTTACGTTTCTCTCTCTCTCTCTCTCTCTCTCTCTCTCTCTCTCTCTCGTAGCACCAAAGTTTCCACCATTTCCCCCGACAATATTCAGTGTTTGAAAGTTGAGTCCCATTATGAGCGGCTCACCCAGGGATACACATTATGAAAACGGCCCCAAGTTAGGGGAAAAATGGCCCTTGGTGACCTGAAGTTAGGGGAAAAAATGGCCCTTGGTGACCTGAAGTTAGGGGAAAAAATGGCCCTTGGTGACCTGAAGTTAGGGGAAAAAACGGGCCTTGGTGAACCTGAAGTTAGGGGAAAAAATGGCCCTTGGTGACCTGAAGTTAGGGGAAATTTGACTAGAAATGACGAGTTACCAGGAGACATATACTACTGTCACAATAAAACCTAACCTAAACCTAACCTAAACCTAACCTAAACCTAACCTAACCTAAACCTAACCTAACCTAACCTTAACAGTTTAATATAACGGTATAATGCATCTACTTATTATAGTCTTATAATGAACTTTTATAAAGCTGTCTGGTGAAAGTATTATGATAATGTTTTTGGTGATAATACTCTCGAGGTGGTGGTGAGAGAGAGAGAGAGAGAGAGAGAGAGAGAGGGGGAAGAGAGAGAGAGAGAGAGAGAGAGAGAGAGAGAGAGAGAGAGAGAGAATAAACAACATTTAGTCTTGAAAATTATCGCCCAATTATTCTCATGGTGGTAATTAAGGTCCACAGGGTAATTAGTGCCAGAGTAATTAACAACAGGTAACTTATTCCTCCCGTAATTTAGGGTTTAATTATCCTTGCTAAGCTACCTGGATAATTAAACTTCTAGTGATTTAAGGTGATTAAGTCCCTGAGATAATTAGGGTGATTGAAGGTAATTAAGTCATTGGATATGGGTAATTTATCCTTATGGGTGATTAAAGTTAACTAAAACCTTGGATAATTAAATATAGATTATCCCTCAAGTAATTTAGGATTAATTATTGTTTTGATCTTAATTAGACATGTGGATAATTTTGGGTAATTACTTCTTTGGGTAATTAATTTTGGGTTGGTTTTATAATTTTGGATATAATTAAAGAGGGGTGAGAGGGAGGGAGAGGGAAGAAAGAGGGGTAGAGAATAAGAGTGGGAAAAAAGAGGAATAAAGACTGAGAGGGAAAAAAAGAGAGGGAGAGGCAGGAAGGGGAGAACAGGAGGTTGAACGACATCAGGAAATTGTCACGAGGGGAAATATCTGAGTTTTTATTGGTCGAGGCGGAAGCTGGTGCTCTTCTTCTGATTGGTCAAGGGCTTGTGAGTAGGTATACTGTACACTATATGTAATGTGTGTGTATGTATGTTTTTCTGTGTATGTATATATGTTTGTATGTATGAAATGAACTGACTTACTGAATATAGTAGAAATATTATTATTACTATTATTATTATTATTATTATTGCTATTACTATTATTATTATTATTACTATTATTATTATTACTATTATTATTATTATTATTATTATTATTATTATTATTATTACTACTATTATTATTATTACTATTATTATTATTATTACTATTATTATTATTATT